AATACTTTTCGGCAAACGGCATAGGCCCCCAGCCTCCGCCCCCAGCCCGCCCCCCCCGCGACCCCCCCCCCCACGCCCCCCCCCCACGCCCGCGTCGCGACAGATTACACATGCGAACGCGCGACAGTAATAATAATTATTATTAATAATAATGATGATAAATCCACTAACTCTAGGGCTACTTGCGACCACCAGCCGTGCCGCCACTCGCGCAAGGTTGAGAAATTAATTGTGCGCGCGTGTGCGCACACGCGCGAGAGTTCACCCGTTGCTGCTGCTGCTGCTGCTGCTGCTGCCATCCGACAGTGACGTGTGGACGTGGGGTGTTCAAACTCAGGTCCCGTGGTTAGGCACGGCCCATCATCGCCATCGTCGTGATCACCTCTCCTGGGTGGACAATATGGCTTACCCGGTTAAACATGCCAACGTCGGCGTGTAGTCGGAGCTGATGGACCAACGTTTGCCCAACGTTGGCGTCCAACGTTGGCAGAACGTTGTAACCCCCAACGTCCCGTGTCTGCTGGGTGAGCGGCCACATTAGCGGGGAGGTCAACGAGCGTGCAGCAGCTGTGCCCAACCGCCAATGCGAACCACGTGCCGAGTCGCCTCGTGTCACACAGGGACCGCTGCCACCGGGGGGGGGGGGGGGGGGGGGGGGGGCCCTCGGAACGACGGATTGGCCCGCGCGTTGCCGGCGTCACGGTCCCAGTGTTGACGCCAACATTCGTAAAAAAAAACGACACCAAGGACACACACCAAAAAATACCCAAATCCAGGTTAGGGCAGCAAAATTTCAAGCCTCGTCTAATGGAGGGCTAAAAAAAAACATCCCAGGACGCCTAAGTTCGCGAGCGATCTGTGAACAGCGATGGATTGTAGTAACAAGTGCAAATGATCCAGCAAGTGCGGAACATCCGCGCGAATCCCCGTGACGTGCGTGGCGTCTGTCCTCGGACGCGGCTAACTCGCTGGCACGGAGGACGAGGGGGGGGGGGCTGTCGCTATGAATAACGTGTTCTCATATTTGCAAATAGTTCTCTGTCCTTTAGCGCCGCTTGCGTCTGCCAAGTTGATGGGGAGTAAACCGCCCTCGGGGGGGGCTGTCAATGTGACCGGTTTACTGTGAAGAGGGGCGCGCGGTAGCGACGCCGCTTGACGGTCAACGTCTCGTCGTTCATCGCTACGATGGGGGGGGGGGGGGCTATCGGAGCGGGGGGCCAAGAGGTCCGAACAGAATGCTGCCCCCTGTCGTCGTGTGTGGCTGATGGGATGTGTGGAATTTTTTTTTTTTAACGTGGAAGGACCGACATGGGATGGAGTTCGTAGTCCCGCACCTCCGGGAAGCTCGGCTGGCTACGTATGGTGCGAAAGAAGTTCAACATACACACGTATGTACGGGCGGGATTATTTGGGTCAGATTCCATCCATTCAGCCCGAACCCTGGACCCCCTCCATCTCCGCGCCCGTTCCCCCCCTCGCCCGCCGGACTTTCGGAAGACTGCCCAAACAAAGCCACCATGGGACAACAAAAACAACCTCCACAACAACAACAAACGACCTAGAAATTATACAAATTGGTTACGTAAAGCTACCCAGAGAGGCTCTATTTTTCCCGTTAAATACAAGTACCGTATAAAATATTTTATACAACGCGCGTGCGCACACGCACACACACGCACGCACACACACGCCCGCACGCGCACACACGCACACACAGACGACGGAGACTAAAAGTTCACGGGAGGACTGGTCCGGAGACGGGCCCGTCACGCCGAGCCTCGGTGGGCGGTCTGACCTCGGTTAGCGAACACGGAACTCTGAACGCGTTCCGCGTCAGCGACGATGCCACGCGCGTACATCCGTGCGTGCGTGGCCCTGAAAGGCAAAAAAAAATATCTGTAACAGGCGACATTTCAGGCAATGACCTTTCTACGACGAAGCGTCGTTTGTGTGCTGTCTCGTTTGCCGACGTATGGCGACTGGCGTTGTTAGGGGGCACTTTTGCCGCCGATACGACATCATCAGTGTGAGGAGGGCCGCCACACATTTGAAACCATTGGGGAGTTTGACAGCAGCACGATGATGATGGGGAGGGGGTGTAAATCTTTGTGTATTGTCAGGGGGCTGCACGCCAGGGGCCGCCAGTGGCCCGCGGGGGCCTTGCAATGGAGGACCGCTGGCGTAGAGCAACAGCGGTCATTCTACAGCGAGGTGGTTGATGAGGCGGATGATTGCGTCCGGGAGTCGCTGAGTGGCGGGTCATCGCCTCTGCGCTGATGATGGCACCCTCCCTCCCTTCTCCTCCTTCACGTTTGCGAATCGGGCACCGTTCCGTTAAGAAGGGACCATTGCCCCGAAGGTCGCCTGTTATATTATAATTTATGTTTTTTTTCGTTGAAGCCAACGCACACACACACACGCACACACGCACACACGTGTGGTCACTGAGACGGAGTCGTGTCGAGTGCTTTCCTTCTGCTAATTGTGCTTGTGCGCCACTGCCAACGCAGCAGCCGCAGCAGCCGGTTCATCGCCAAATAAAATTTGTCAAATTTTTGCTAAAAACGCTATCGGTAACACGTCTTAAAGCGGGGGGGGGGGGGGGGGGGGGGAGGAGCGGTGGGCCTAGCGGTTAGCGCACTGCGCTATGAACCTGGCGGCGATGAGTTCCAACAATTCCCGAAACACGTGGGGTCATGGGCGCGCCGCACCATCGACCCACACTGACCAGCCTGGTGAAGTATGGTCAAACAACCCCCACCCCCCCCGTGGTTGAAAAGAGCATGGGAAAGGCCTTCATCCAGCAGTGGAATTGCCAAGGGATAGTCGACTATTCTCGTTATTATTCAAAATTAAATATTATTTTAAATCGTACTAGCGAGCGGTTACAAACGTGAAAGCGTCGTCCAACTAACGTTAGCGCGAGGCCAACCGTACCTACAGCAGTGCCGGGGGTGGAGCGGTGGTGCCGCGATTAACGCACCGCGCTACAAACCCGGCAGTCAAAGTTCCAACGACGTCTGAACCTGATCCCCCCCCCCCCCCCGTAACCTTCACTGACCTGCACTGACCAGCGCGGTGAAGTATGGTCAAACGACCACGAAGCCTTCATCCGGCGTACTGTGGGGGGGGGTGCCCCCCCCCCCGGCGTGTGGGGACGGCGAAAGTCTCCCCCAAGGACTCGCCGAGTCCTCGCCGAGTATTCGCCGAGTCCCGACCGCGACCAAGTCCCGGTTCACCTCCGCCCCCCCCCGCCCCCCCACCACAGGAGTCGACGGCCCGCACGGCAAACGACCTCACGGCGAATAAATAAACCCCTGGGCGCGCGATCGGAGACCGAGAGGCGCGATGGCGACGCCAGCGGACCGTTCCCGCTGGCGCTCGCGGGCATCGAGGGGCGCGTGCCGACACGCACGTCGGCACGCGCTCCTCGTCGGGCAGCAGGAGGGGCGGCGCCGCGGCCAACGCGAGAGGCTGACGAGTACAAATCCCACCCGGGGCGTCCGCTCGGCACGTACAACGACGACATCAGCATCGTCAGTGCCGGATTATCCTAGTGGCACAAGTAGCTACATATGTAGTAGCTGCTACATATGTAGTAGTAGCTACATATATAGTAGTAGCTACACATGTAGTAGCAGCTACATATATAGTAGTAGCTACACATGTAGTAGTAGCTACACATGCTACGGGCCCCGCACTGTCAAGGGCCCCGCGCTAAATGCTTTCAAGCTATCAATTCCGGTTCCGTGTTTGTGCACTTGCTCTATTACTATAGTACTATACCGCCTTCAACTTTTGCGAACGACCGGGTGTTAAAGGTTAGCGATTTCACGTATTATCTGGCTGTATAGCAAATGAAAAAATACAATTACTTTATTATGCAAAGTAAAAAAAAAAGTTAGTGTTTTCATATTTACGTGTTGTATTTTATTTAGGGCCCCTTTAATAACATCGTATGCTACAGGCCCCGCACTAGCTTAATCCGGCACTGGGCATCGTCGTCGTCAACTTCTGGATGGACGAGGAATCCGTCCAGCAGCGGAGAGGCACGGGCGAGCACGACGGAGCAGGTAAACTTTGCCCGTGGGTCACGAGCCAGGATACAAACTGTGCGACCGGGTCCACGAGGGTGGGTTGTCGCTATAGCCGTCGTTATTGACGTACGGAAAGACTGCCCCCACCGCTCCCACCGCCATGGGAATGTGGAATTTCCACCGTTGAAGGGAGCGATGGGTCAATGTGCGTTCTCAAATTCGCACTTCCCAACTCGCGATCGTCTCCAGCGCGCCGCTACAGCCCCACAACAACAACATCATCATCACTACAAACTAACCAGTCGCCTGAACTGGTCCCTTAAACGGCTCCTTAACTGGACCCTTAACTGGACCCTTGACCAGTCCCTTAACCGTTCCCTTAACTGGTCCCTTAACTGGTCCCTTAAACAAGAAGTTCCCTTATCCGGTTCCCTTAACCAACACCTTAACCGGTGGCGGAATTTCCGATTCATCACCGCCTCCGAGTGAATCTAAACGACTCCCCCGGTGACAGGGAGACATTGACAGGGAGATGGTGACAGAGACGGTGACAGAGACGGTGATGGTGACAGGGAGACGGTGACGGGGAGGCGGAGCGCTCTCCCACGTGACCTACGGAGAGCTATATGAGGCGTGGAGATTCATGGAGATCCCGCTGGGGATTCTGTCCGACTGCTCGGGACAAAGACCACACAACCGCCCAGCCGCCCGGAGCTCAGCTCGGACTCACTCAGGGATGGAGGGAGGGGATCAAGACAGGCGAGAGGAGAGAGCGGAGGTGGTGGGGGGGGGGGACGATAGTAGGGAGGAGAGAGACAAAGTGGAGAGTGGGAGGATGGGTCCGAGTGAGAAGAGAGGCAAACGAAGTCAATCGGCGAGAGACGGGGGAAGCGAGAGAGGAGAGAGAGGAGAGAGTGAGCGGGGTAGAAACAAGAAGGGAGCCATCGCTCGAGGGGGAGTAGGGCAGGCTTGGTGGTGGGGGGGGCGGTGAGGGTGGGTGGGGGGGGGGGCTGTCACAGCGCCTGCTGGGCGAGGGCGGCCGACACGTCGGAGGCGAGTGTGGAGAGGCGCGGCGACTCCAGAAGGTTGGCGCTGCCCGCGGAGCTCACGTTGCTGAGGCGGCGCGGGGTGTGACCCGCCGACACAATGTCGGCGCCGTGGTCCGTGCGCGAGCGCGCCGACTCGCGGAAGTTCAGCTTGTGGCTCTCGATCTGCGGCGGCGCGCACGGGAGACGCGAGCACGGGAGACACCACGGGAGACACGCACGGGAGACACGCACGGGAGACACGCACACACGCGGGAGACACGCACACACACACACGACACACACGCGGGAGACGCACACACACACACGACACGCACGGGAGACACACGCACACATACGACACGCACATACGCACACACGACACGCGTGTTTACGCGAGAAACGGCGGTGGGGCCCCACTCGAGCCGCCGGGGCGACGTGAGAAGCACGGCGCTCGCTCGTACGGTGTCCACCGCTCGCTCGCGGCGAGAGAGAGCGAGGGAGGGGGGAGAGGGGACGACTCGGGGAGAGAGAGAGGAAAGGGCTACTTGGAGGTGCCAGGAGGGGGAGGAGGAACCACAGGCGAGCGGGAAGGCAGCAGCAGTAGCAGCAGCCACACGGTGACGAGAAGCCGGCACTGAGAATTGCCCGAGCTCTGCGCTCCTCTACCCCATCCAATACAGAAGAGGCGGAGTGTCTACGTGTCACCGCCTTCTCCTGGCGAGCCAAGCGGAGGGACTTTTACAGCGTTTGTGTGTGATGCCTGCAGCACGTGGAGTGAGAGGGGAGAGGGGCGTGGGGTGAGAGTGGAGGGGTGAGAGTGGAGACGGAAGAGGGGCGTGGGGTGAGAGTGGAGAGTGGAGAGTGGAGAGGGGGAGTGGAGAGTGGAGAGTGGAGAGTGGAGGGGTGAGACTGGAGCCGGGAGAGGGGTGAGAGTGGAGAGTGGAGAGAGCAGAGGGGGTGTGAGGGACGTGGGGTGAGAGTGGAGAGTGGAGGGGTGAGACTGGAGCCGGGAGAGGGGTGAGAGTGGAGAGTGGAGAGAGGAGAGGCGGTGTGAGGGGCGTGGTGCTGGCCACCGGCCCCCTCGTGCGCCGTGCCGGCCTTCACGGGTGCTGCTCGCTAACAGCACTTGCCCCCAAGTCTGCTGAGACTACACGGGGGGTACTTAGTCCCCGCACGAGCGAGCGAACTAGCGAACGGTGGCCTCACCCCACGCTTCCCGCCAAGTGGCTGCGATGTGATCGCTCGCACCAGGACCCACGTTACCTTGATGTTGCCTCCGCCGGGCGTGTGGGTCGTGTTGTCGAAGGACCCCACCTTGGACTTGGCCTTATCCTTGAACTCGAGCTTGTGGCTCTGGATCTGCACGTTCCCTCCGCCTGCACAAAGACAAAGGTCCCCCCAACGCGCGCAGCCTCAGCGGAAATGCTTGTGAGGCCAAGTGCCGCGAGCGCCTACGATGGTGCCGACGGAGGAGCGGGGGGCGGCCGGAACCAGGCCCGGCGATGATGACGAGCTGACGAAGGGGAGACGCGGGAACGGTTGGACTCGGGTGTCCGGGTTCGTGGTGCAGCGCCGCGCCAGGGGAAGGACGCCAGCCGGAGTTAATGACGAATATCCGAACCGGTCCTGGGCCTCCTTGAGGTCGACTCAGCCTCAAATGAGGGGTTAACGTCGCCACTCGCGATGGAAAAGTGACCCCGAATGGGCGTGGTGCTGGCCACCCCCCCCTCCGCCCCGTGCGCCGTGCCGGCCTTCGTAGGCGCCGCCTGCCGCTCGCTAGCGGCGCTCGCCCTGACAGCCGGTGAACCCTCTCCCGTTCCGAGACGCACCGCAAGTCGCAGGGCGGGTGGGGGTGGCGCGTCTCCCCGCCCGCCGCAGAATCCTCGGCACGCGCGAGCGGCTCGCCGTTCAAGTTATTTAGAGAGACGCAGCAGCAGCAGTAGCAGCAGCAGCGCCGCCACGGAGAACCGTAGCGGCGCCACCGACGCCGCTCTACCATAGCCGGCGACAAAACTGGTGCCAGGCGCCCTCCCGCGTGGCCTTTCACCTCCGATGCCGTTCCGATGCACGTACGACGCGTCGTAGGGCGACGTAACACGCGTGTGGCGACGTAACACGTGGACGATGATGTAACACGCATGTGGCGACGTAACACGTGGACTCGTATGCATGACGACGTGCACTTGCGCAGTGGCGGCTCGTGACATCTCCACTAGATGGGGCTGTTGTAAGTGACCTCTGACAATGTGGCGTTCTAATAATGAAAAACCTCGTCATGTTATTGGCCTTCCCGTGAAAGTGATACAACTGTCTTATCTACCAACGGTAGGCGTTTATAAACAATGCGAAACAAAACAACAAAGCACTCAAATGCTGTCCCCATGGCCCTCAAGTCCACACTACACAACCCCTTTGACGCTGCCAAAAGCCGTGAGCTGCTATATGTGCACGGTGCAACCTCACGTCGTGACGTCGTCATTACAGCCACGGGCGTCTTCCTCACCCACCCTGAATGGGGTCTCACACGGCGTGGCTACGATGCGAAGCTCATCGCAACGAATGAAGAGAAATCTCTCTCACTCGGACGCATTCACAGTCGCCCTGAGACCTGCCCGAGATACAAATCAAACTGCGGCGTTGCGGCGGTTTCTAATACGAACAACTTTAAATGTTATCTTCATTAGGCAATTCGCGTTGAAAGAATCATTGATTTTTTTAAACACAAAAAATGTATCGAAAATTATTTTCTATTGGAAAAATAATTTCTCATCTCCAGCTGCTTGGTGGGGCGGCGCCCCAGCGCCCCTAGTGGACGAACCGCGTCTGCACGTTCACACGACGACGGACGTGCATCGGAACGGGGTTAAAGGCTACGTAGGGGACCTATGTGTTTGTGTGTGTGCGTGTGTATGCGTGTGTGTGTGCGTATGTGTGCGTGCGTGTGTGTTTGTGTGTGTGTGTGTGTGCGTGTGTGTGTTTGTGCGTGTTTGTGTGTGTGCTTGCGCGCGTCGTGAGGACACAGGGAGGGGGAGGTGGTGGTGGGGGGGGGGGAGGTGGTTGTGGGGGGGGGGGAGGTGGTGGTGGGGAGGGAGGGAGAGGTGGTGGGGGGGAGGTGGTGGTGGGGAGGGAGAAGAGGTGGTGGGGGGGGGGAGGTGTTGGTGGTGGGGGGAGGAGGTGGTGGGGGCACGGACGCACCAGGCTTGTGGCGCACGTTGTTGAAGGAGCCGCACTTGGAGCTCACGTTGGACAAGTCGATCTTCTTCGTGGTGATCTGGACCTGGCGGCGCGGGCGGCACAGACGACACGGCGGCGTCGGGAGGAGGAGGAGGAGGAGCGCGCCGGCCGTCGGTAACAAAATCCGCACCGCGTTTTCACTCAAACCCACGCACCCCCCCCCCTCTCTCAACGGTCGCAGCAAAACGACAGCGACGACGAGATTTGCACCCAGAGGAGACAAAAAACGACGTTACATTTTTTCTATCGCCGTAATAATGAGAGCACACTCACGTTCCCTCCGCCGGGGGAGTGCCTCAGGTTGGCCATGGAGTTGCACTTGGAGTTCACGTGGCTGTAGTCCTGCTTCTCGCTGAAGACCTGCGTCTGCGTGGGACACACACCCGCGGATTAGCAAGCGAGCTCCCGTGGGCGAGCGAACTACGGTGGTGGGGGTGAGTGATCGCTGGTTAACACTGCAGGTGAGTGATCGCTGGTTAACACTGCGGGTGAGTCAACCCAGGCTTGTGCCGCTCACGCAGCGGCAGCAGCTGTGGTCACTGCGACCCCGGCCTGACCCCGGCCTGACCCCGGCCTGACCCCGCTGCTTGGAGCCCCACGGCGGCCTGGAATTGTGGAGGCCGCCCGCCCACGCGCTCACGACCCGGCGGCCGGCCAGCGGGTGGCGCTGCAGAGTCGCAGAGCCCCGTGACAACCCCCACCCAGGCAGCAAGCTGAGAGCCCCCACCTGAACCCAGAGACCCCCCTGAACCCACCTGCCCCCCTCCCCCACCCCCACCTGCCCCCTCCCCCACCTGCCCCTTCCCCCACCTGCCCCCTCCCCCGCCCCCACCTGCCCCTGCCCCCACCTGCCCCCTCCCCCACCTGCCCCTTCCCCCACCTGCCCCCTCCCCCACCTCCCCCGCCCCCACCTGCCCCCGCCCCCACCTGCCCCTCCGCAGGCTGGTGTTTGGCGTTGCCGTGGTGGGAGGATATCTTAGAGCGCACGTGTGAGAGGTCGAGCTGGGCAGGAGGGGTCGTGACCTCCCGGGGTCGAGCGGCGCGGGGCGCAGATCGAATGATCGCCACCTTGTCCCTGCAACGCGCACAAAGACAGAGGGGCCCCGCGGAGGCCTGTGACGGGCTGTTGGGGCGAGAGTTGATGGCCGGCGCTTCAGCAGGCGCCGCGCCCGGCCGCCTTTGTCTCCCCGGTGCCGATGTTTACGCACCGCACCGGGGGGTACTCGCTTAAAGGCCGAGTCGACCTAGGGGAGGCCGAGGAGCGGTTCAGATAAACGTCGCTGGCGTTGGCCGCGGGCGGGAATCGAACCGCGTGCCGCGGGGTTCGTAGAAGCATGGCACGCTAACACACACACACACACGTATACACAGATACAGACACGTATACACACACACGCACAGACACGTATACACACACACAGACACGTATACACAGACACGTATACACAAACACACACACACTCACACGCATACACACACACACGTATACACAGACACGTATACCCACACACACACAGACACGTACACACACACGTATACACAGACACGTATACACACACACAGACACGTATACACAGACACGTATACACAAACACACACACACTCACACGCATACACACACACACGTATACACAGACACGTACACACGCACACACACAGACACGTATACACAGATACAGACACGTGCGCATCACCCTACTTTGCTATAATTTATGTTAATTTATGGATTTTTTTTACTTTGCGCATTTGAATATCTAACAAAAAATGTGTTGAGGGGGGCGTGGGCCTTGGAGGAGGGGGGTGGGGAGAGGGGGGGGCACGAGTGGGGGGTGGGGAGGGGGGCACGGGTGAGGAGGGGGGGCATGGGTGGGGAGGGGGGGCACCTGTACCTCTTCCCCCAGCACCACCGCGCTCCCACACGCCACCGTCTCCCCGTGGCCCCACAGAAATTGGGTGGCCGACAAGCTCCCCCACGCTCCCCCGTGCCCCACCCCCCGTGCCCCCCACCCCCCGCTCACCGCACGGGCGTGGGCGTGGAGTGGGGGCGGCTCAGCGGGGTGAGGATCCCGCTCCAGTGGTTGAGGCTCCCGGGGGTGCCCGGGGTCGTGGGGGTCGTGGTGCCGCTCTTCTTGCGGGGTCGCGACGGCTTCGACGACGACGACGAACTCTTCCCTCCCCCGCCCCCACCTCCTCCCCCGCCCCCACCTCCCCCGCCCCCCGCTGCCGACGATGCTGCTGATGACGGCTGCGAGGAGCTGGCGCCGCCGCCGCCCCGCGCCGACGCTGCTCCCTGCGGCGGCGAGGTGATGCCTGTGGGGCGTGGGGGCAGAGGGGGGGAGGGGGGAGGGGAGAAGGTTGTGGGGTGAGAGGGGAGAGAGTGGAGAAAGGTGAGAGTGGAGAGGGGAGAGTGGAGAGGAGTGTGAGGGGAGAGGGGAGAGGAGTGTGGGGGGAGAGGGGAGAGTGGAGAGGGGAGAAGGGTGTGGGGTGAGAGGGGAGAGAGTGGAGAGAGGTGAGAGTGGAGAGGAGTGTGGGGGGAGAGGGGAGAGGAGTGTGGGGTGAGAGGGGAGAGAGGGGAGAGAGAGGGGAGAGAGTGAGGAGAGGGGAGAGTGGAGAGGAGTGTGGGGGGGAGAGGGGAGAGAGTGGAAAGTGGTGAGAGAGGTTTGGGGTGAGAGGGTAGAGAGGAGAGAGGTGAGAGGGTAGAGAGGAGAGAGGAGAGGGGAGAGAGAGGAGAGGGGCGTGGTGCTGGTCACCCACCCCCTCTTGCGCCGTGCTGGCCTTTATAGGTGTTACTCGCTAACAGCACTTGCCCCAAGTCTGTTAAGACTATACGGGGGGTCTTTGTCTTTGTATAAGTGAGTGAGTGTGAGCGAGTGTGAACGAGCGTGTGAGAGTGAGTGCAAGTGTGAGTGAGTGCGAATGAGTGAGCGAGAGTGAATGAGTGAGTGAGCGAGTGTGAGCGACCGAGTGTGAGTGAACAAGCATGAGCGAGCGAGTGTGAGAGAGCGAGTGTGACCGAGTGAGTCAGCGAGTGTGTGAGCATGAGTGAGCGAGTGTGAGTGAGCGAGTGTGAGCGAGTGAGTGTGAATTAGCGAGTGTGAGTGAGTGACCGAGTGAGTGAGCGAGAGTGAGTGAGCAAGAGTGAGCGAGTGTGAGTGAGTGAGCGAGCGAGAGTGAGCAAGTGAGTTTGAGCGAGCGAGTGTGAGCGAGTGTGAGTGAGTGAGCTAGTGTGAGCGAGCGAGTGTGAGCGAGCGAGTGTGAGCGAGTGACCGAGTGAGTGAGCGAGTGAGCGAGCGAGTGAGCTAGTGTGAGCGAGCGAGTGTGAGCGAGCGAGTGTGAGTGAGCGAATGAGCGAGCGAGTGAGTGAGCGAGTGTGAGTGAGTGAGCGATTGAGCTAGTGTGAGTGAGCGAGCGAGTGAGCTAGTGTGAGCGAGCGAGTGTGAGCAAGCGAGTGTGAGTGAGCGAATGAGCGAGCGAGCGAGTGAGCTAGTGTGAGCGAGCTAGTGTGAGCGAGTGAGCGAGCGCGAGCGTTCTCACTTGTGGGGCGGGCGGGCGCGCCGCTCTTCGTGCCGGTGGTGGTGGCGGCAGCGGCGGTGGCCGGGATGGGCTTGGGGATGGCGGTCGGCTTGGGAAGGCCGGAGCGCCGCTCCCCCATCTTGGCGTCCTGGGGAAGGAGGGCCGCGCACGGCCGGAGCGCGGTGCGCATCAGGCGGGCCGCCCCGGTCAATACCGGCCACCCGCGCGCACTCAACCCGTAAATGCGCACGCCGGGGCCAAATTGGCTCGCCGTGTGTGCGACGGAGATCCAGTGCCGGACTAAGCGAGGTGCGGGGCCTGTAGCATATGTTGTTATAAAGGGGCCCCAAATAAATTAAAAACACTTGAATATTAAAACACAATTTTTCACTTGCATAGTAAAGCAATTGTATTTTTTTATTTGCTATACAGCCAGATAATACGATAAATCGCTAACCTTAAAACACCCGGTCGTTCATAAAAGTCGAAGGCAGTATAGTACTGTAGTCATAGAGCAAGTGCAGAATCACTGAACCGGAATTGATAGCTTGAAAGCATTTAGTGCGGGGCCCTTGAAAGTGCGGGGCCCGTAGCTACTACATATGTAGTAGCTACTACATAAGTAGTAGCAACGACTTATGTAGTAGCTATGTAGTAGCTACTACTACATGTGTAGTAGTTACTACTACATGTGTAGCTACTACATGTGTAGCTACTACATAAGTAGTAGCTACTACTTATGTAGTAGCTACTACTTATGTAGTAGCTATGTAGTAGCTACACGTGTAGTAGTTACTACTACATGTGTAGCTACTACATGTGTAGCTACTACATGTGTAGCTACTACATGTGTAGCTACTACTTATGTAGCTGCTTTTGCTACTGGGATAATCCGGCACTGCGGAGATCCCGTGGCCCCCGCTCGGCAAGGGGGCGGTCGCGGTCTCCCGAACGTTGCCGATGTTCGAAAAGACGACGGCGCTAAGACACTCCAGGGAGGGATCTCGCACGCACCACGCAGCAGCAGGCAGCAGCAGGCAGCAGCAGCAGGCAGCAGCAGGCAGCAGCAGCAGGCAGCAGCAGGCAGCAGCAGGCAGCAGCAGCAGCAGGCAGCAGCAGGCAGCAGCAGCAGGCAGCAGCAGGCAGCAGCAGCAGGCAGCAGCAGGCAGCAGCAGCAGGCAGCAGCAGGCAGCAGCCGTCAACCCCACACCCCCCTCCTCCCCATCCCACCTACTACTGGTAGACTCGTTGCCAGATTTTAGGCCGGGCGCCGTGCTACTTGCGCCGCACAGGGACATCTGCCACTGGGGGTGCCCTTGGTGGGAGGGTGGGGGGGGCGGGATGGGGGAGGGGCAGTGCCCGCAATGTTCACGCCAGCTGCATGCAAAAGATCGCAATATTCTGAACGTAAAAAAAAGATCGGCAATCTTCTTCATCCGATACTCGTGTCTGGGCGATTGTGAACGAGCGACCAATCATCTGTCAACCCCTCGGCACCCTGGCTCTGTCCCGTGGCCTCCTGTCATCGTGGCATTCCACACTTCACGCGGCCTCCTGAGAGTGCACCTAGCCTGGCACAAGCTCCGCGGCGACGTCACCCGCCACGTGGCGGCGAACGGCAGCTGCTGTTGTTGTCGAGCGAGGGAGACGTGAGACTCATCGCTGGCATGCATGTACGAGCCGTCAGTGCAGGGCACGCAGAGCGAAGAGAACGGGGTTTGATATTTGGGATTCGGTCAGCGCCACCGTACCTTGCCGGAAGCTCCATAGGCCTGGTCACTGCCTTCCTCGCTCACGGCTTCTGCAAGATAACGAGGCGGACCGGTGAGAGCGGGAACGAAACTCGCAGATGATGAACCGCGCACGCCCGCCCGCACGCCCCCCCTCCCGAGAGAGAGAGATGAGAGCGGTCTCGGCGGAGCGCCGTGACATCATCGTAGAGGGAGAGGGCCACCACGACCCCCCCCTACTCCCCCCCCCCCGGGATCGGCTCAGGAATCCACCACGAAGGAACCGCGGACGGGATCTTCTAAAAAGTGCACAGAGGGGCGAGGGAGAGGTGGCGCGCGGGTGCAGCGACTACCACGGAACGCGGAGAGACGGGAATAGAAATGACGCGGATTGGGGGAACACACGCCGCTATTTCGTGATGATAATGATGATGAGGGTAATAATGGAAACGATGTCACCCTTTAATGAGAGAGAGAGAGAGAGAGGGACGTCTCAGAGAGTGGACGACTCCGAGAGAGAGAGGACGACTCAGAGAGAAAGGACGACTCAGAGAGGACGACTCAGAGAGAAAGGACGACTCAGAGAGAGAGGACGACTCGAGAGAGAGGACGACTCAGAGAATAAGAGGGGACGACTCAGAGAATAAGAGGGGATGACTCAGAGAAAGAGGACGACTCGGAGAGGACGACTCAGAGAGAAAGGACGACTCAAAGAGAGGACGACTCGAGAGAGAACGACTCAGAGAGAGAGAGAGGACGACTCGAGAGAGAGGACGACTCAGAGAGAGACAGAGGACGACTCAGAAGCGCCAGGAGGAGGAACCGCAAACGAGGGGTGGGAAGGCAGCAGGAGTCGAGCGACGAGTCGGCACCACCAACCATTGTTCAAGCTCTGCGGCCCTCTACATAGCAAGGTGTTATCTGACAATGGATTGTTTACACTTGGGAGGAAACCAGAGCACCCGATGGAACAGACGGAGTCCACACTTGTTGTACCGGCTGGACAGCGCGAGGCTCCTGATGATGATGATGTTGGTGATGATGATGTTGGTGATGATGGGGATGATGGTGATGATGATGATGTTGGTGATGATGATGATGTTGGTGATGATGATGATAATGCTAATGACGATGATGGTAATGATGTTGATGATGTTGATGATAATGATATTGATGATGGTGATGGTGGTAATGATGGTGATGATGATTGATGATGGTGATGATGATGGTGATGATGGTGATGATGATGGTGAGGATGATGATGATGATGATGGTGATAATGGTGGTGGGGATGATGATGGTGGTGATGATGGTGATGATGGTGATGTTGGTGATGATAATAATCGTTGAGAAACTAAAGGGAAGGACACAAACGCGACGAATCTAAATCTCACTAAAAAATGTGTTTAAAAAATACGTGGGGGGTTAATTGTGGGTTTCACGATCCCCACACACGGCACACCACGTCCACCATCGCTCTCTCGCTCCTCTCGCGATGGGGCCGTGGCATCTGGTGGTCACGTGCCACCAACCCAATTCTGCCAGCGAGCCGGAGAATATTCCAGGAGAGATTTAAGCCCCAACCGCCGGTCGATCTCCGTTCGACCCGCTGCCCACACTGCCTGTTCGGTGCTCGCTCGGTGATCCCTCGATAGTTTTACGCGGCAGAAAGGGAACCGGGACATTACAGAACATCGTCCGAGTTTATCAACGAGCCCTCGCCGGTTGCCGGGAGCGACGCAACGACGTTGCAGAGCACGCGGAGAGAGAGCGGGGAGAGAGCGAGAGCAGGGGGAGAGAAAGAGAGAGAAAGAGCGAGCGGGGAGAGAGAGCGAGCGGGAAGAGAGAGAGAGCAGGGGGGAGAAAGAGAGAGAGAAAGAGCGAGCGGGGGAGAGAGAGAATACAGGGGGAGAGAGAGAGCGGAGAGAGAGAGAAAGAGAGGGGAGAAAGCGAGCGGGGGAGGAGAGAGAGCGTATGAGGAGAGAGAAATGAACAGCAACTGCTTTGTCCCACGCTGCTCCCCCTACCCCCCATCTCCTCTTCCAGCACAGCCCCCCCCCCCCCATTTAGAGTCCAGCGAGAGTTGGGGGGTGGCAGGGATTATAGAAAGACGAGATGGGAGAGGCAGGATAGTGCGTGGAGGGGAGTGAAAATGAGAGGGGAGACGGTAGGAGAGTGCGTGGAGGGGAGTGGAGTGAGATGAGAGGGGAGAGGCAGGAGAGTGCGTGGAGGGGGAGTAGAGTGAGATTAGAGGGGAGAGGGCAGGAGAGTGCATTGAGGGGAGTGGAGTGAGATGAGAGGGGAGAGGCAGGAGAGTGCGTGGAGGGAGTGGAGTGAGATGAGAGGGGAGAGGTAGGAGAGTGCGTGGAGGGGAGTGGAGTGAGATGAGAGGGGAGAGGCAGGAGAGTGCGTGGAGGGGAGTAGAGTGAGATTAGAGGGGAGAGGCAGGAGAGGCATTGAGGGGAGTGGAGTGAGATGAAAGGGGAGAGGTAGGAGAGTGCGTGGAGGGGAGTGGAGTGAGATGAGAGGGGAGAGGCAGGAGAGTGCGTGGAGGGGAGTGGAGTGAGATGAGAGGGGAGATGTAGGAGAGTGCATGGAGGGGAGTGAGATGAGAGGGGAGAGGGTAGGAGAGTGCGTGGAGGGGAGTGGAGTGAGATGAGAGGGGAGAGGTAGGAGAGTGCGTGGAGGGAGTGGAGTGAGATTAGAGGGGAGAGGCAGGAGAGTGCGTGGAGGGGAGTAGAGTGAGATGAGAGGGGAGAGGCAGGAGAGTGCGTGGATGGGAGTGGAGTGAGATGAGAGGGGAGAGGCAGGAGAGTGCGTGGAGGGGAGTGGAGTGAGATGAGAGGGGAAGGCAGTAGAGTGCGTGGAGGGGAGTAGAGTGAGATGAGAGGGGAGAGGTAGGAGAGTGTGTGGAGGGGAGTGGAGTGAGATGAGAGGGGTGAGGATGGAGAGTGCGTGGAGGGGAGTGGAGTGAGATGAGAGGGGAGAGGCAGGAGAGTGCGTGGAGGGAGTGGAGTGAGATTAGAGGGGAGAGGCAGGAGAGTGCGTGGAGGGGAGTAGAGTGAGATGAGAGGGGAGAGGAGAGGCAGGAGAGTGCGTGGATGGGAGTGGAGTGAGATGAGAGGGGAGAGGCAGGGAGTGCGTGGAGGGGAGTGGAGTGAGATGAGAGGGGAGAGGCAGGAGAGTGCGTGGAGGGGAGTAGAGTGAGATGAGAGGGGAGAGGTAGGAGAGTGCGTGGAGGGGAGTAGAGTGAGATGAGAGGGGAGAGGTAGGAGAGTGCGTGGAGGGGAGTAGAGTGAGATGAGAGGGGAAAGGCAGGAGAGTGCATGGAGGGGAGTGGAGTGAGATGAGGGGAGAGGCAGGAGAGTGCGTGGAGGGGAGTGGAGTGAGATGAGAGGGGAGAGGCAGGAGAGTGCTTGGAGGGGAGTGGAGTGAGATGAGAGGGGAGAGGCAGGGGAGCGTGGAGGGGAGTGAGATGAGAGGGGAGAGGCAGGAGAGTGAGTGGAGGGGAGTGGGGTGAGATGACAGGGGAGAGGCAGGAGAGTGCGTGGAGGGAGTGGGACTGAGATGAGAGGGGAGAGGTAGGAGAGTGCGTGGAGGGGAGTAGAGTGAGAGAGAGGGGAGAGGCAGGGGAGGTGCGGGAATCTTGAGATAGAGGGCTCGGGCCTGACACGGTCTCATAAATTAAACAAATTAGTTATAATTTGTAGCGAGCGCAGCTTCTCGTTAGCTGAGAGAGAGACAAAGATGAGAGAGAGAGACAAAGAGGAACAGGAAACCACAGGCAGGCGATAAAGAAGGCACCCAGAACGGGCGCCACCAATAATTCCCCGAGCCTGCAGTCCTCTTTTTGGTTCTTTCGGTAAAGTCACGTAGAAGGGAAATAATAAAATAAAATAAAAAATATGTGTCTTATTATAATTGTATTATTTCCCTTCTACGGTAAAGCCACGTAGAAGGAAAATAATAAAATAATAAAAATGGTTTATTTTTATTTCCCTTCTACGGTAAAGTCACGTAGAAGGGAAATAATAAAGAAAAAATAATGTTTTATTTGAATTATTTTATTATTTCCCTTCTACGTGACTTTACGAAAGAACCAAGAAGATGAATCCCTGCAGTCACGAAAGCTTTAAATCGAGATGTCTCTGCAGTCCCTAATGCGATGTGCTGCACCTTGAGCGGAGCACGGCGACGACCGTTGTGCGCCTCCTCCCTGGGGCCGCCCGCTTCGCCCACAACCCCTGCGGCAGTAACACACAAAGACAAAGATCCCCCAGGTAGCCTTGAGCGGACTGTTGGGGCAATTGCTGTTAGCGAGCGGAACCTGAGAACGGGGCCGTCCGTATCGGGGATGCGGGGCTCCGTGGTGCTAGGAGATGTTAATACCTCGCCTGGTACGCAGGAGGTCGTGGGTTCGATCCCAACCCTGACGCCTGCTGTATATTTGGAGTTTGCGTGTCTCTCTCATATCAGCATCATCACGGTCTAGGAGATGTTAATACCTCGCCTGGTACGCAGGAGGTCGTGGGTTCGATCCCGACCATGACGCTGCTGAGATTGGAGTTTGCGTGTCTCTCTTCTCATCATCATCCGGTGGCTCGGATATGTTAACTACCTCGCTGGTACCAGGAGGTGGATCGATCCCGACTGCCGCTGCTGCTGCTGTATATTTGTGGT